GTTTGACAAACATGGAGCCCATTAGCTCACTGTTTAATACATTCCAGTTTGTTCATCTATCATACACTCATTCAGACTATGAAGGTGTTTCCAATTTTGTATCTGTAGGCAGAACAGCATCTTCTTAAGTTGGTCCCTCTATACCCAGATAAGGCCTATGTATGATAGTTTATATGATTCACTCAGTAGTCATATGGCAAAGATTTAATCAATACTGAGTTCTTTCTGTTCAATGCTCCTTGCCCATTAGTCTCCAGGAAACCATGGAAATTATGCTGCAACTGGAAGACATCCTTTTATGTTGAACCCCTCCACCAAACAGGAAAGCTCTGGTTGGGTGGATTTTATTGGATTTCAGTCAGCATTTGACAAACTTCAGATGTGGTGGCAATGTGTCCTGGGTACCTTTGGAAGGAAGGTGCTGCTCAGAACTTGCATTCTCTCTCATTGGCACAGCCATTGGACCAGCATCTAGCTAAGTGGTATACATATAATTTCTCTCATTTTATCATCTCCAAGAAAGTTTTAACGATTGTATTTCCTGATAATCTTCAGCACTGACCCAGCATTCTCATTGTAAAACATTATAGGATCTTTTCCTGAAAGGGGGAGAGGAGGAGGAATAGACCATGGATTGATAATAGGGTTATACTGTTTTTACTAATTTGGTTTCTTCTTTAAAAAATATGAAACAGTATCATCTTTTGCTTACTTACTATTTTTATATCCTTATATATAGAAACTTTTGCTCTACTCCCTGCAGTTAGAAAGAAATTGGGAGGGAAAAGGCCTAGGTTTCCCTCCTTATTCCTTGAAATGTTATAAAACAGTATCTTTTAAAATGTAAATACTTGGTTACAATTCTCATGACAATAATAGAAATGATTCAGAGATGCTTTATCACCGTCCAAAGAAAACAAAGATGATAAGAACATGAGCATTCAGTATCAGATACCCAAAGAATGAAGAAGCCAGTGAAAACCTTGGAACCGTCCAATTCAACAACCAGCAAAAGAGGAAACTAAATCTCTAGAAGTGACTCATCTCAGGTTAATGAAAAAGGGACAGACCTGAGAAAACAGAAAACTAACTAGTCAGGTACATGTTCTCATCTGATCCTGAATCAGCCTTCTATCATTATTTTCCCAACCATAACAGAAGAAAATAAGGATCAGAGAAGATAAGGCTTTCCAGTAAATATTTGTGATAAGAATTCAATTCTGTCTAAACTGAATAATTTCATTTTCTTCTTAGAATTCAAAGCCAGATGCTCTACACCTCATTGTAAATATATTATATATAAGATCTATACTAGTATTAAAGAACAGATCATTATTATAAGGCATATAAGAAATGTGATCAATGTAATGTAACACATATGTGGATATATGAATAAATGGTATGGTAACAAAAAGCAGTAAAAGCCAGTGCACAGGACAGCTATTTTAGGGATGGAGGGAGTCTGGAAAGGCCTTAGACATAGGCCAGGAAGGAGAACCATTCAGCCTTGGAGGGAGGGAGGGGAAGGGAGGGTGAAGAAGTCCCTGAAAAAGTCACTCCTAGTGGAGGGAGTAAGGCGAAATTATCTTAGGGAGCAGGTTGTCATAGTTAACTCTAAAAATTGCTGGGATGAGTGAGCTTAAGGACTTGTGTTTGCTGTCAGTGTGTCTTCACACTCTGGTGGGGGTGGAGCCAAGTCAGGGGAAAATTAGCAGCAAGAGTCATCTCTGCTTTTTCTTATTTGAAGTCCCTTGTGTAGCAGAGAGTGGGAGTCACACCTGACTTTCCCTCTTCTTAGCATCTCCTATCAGTTTTTTAGCAGCAAAATATTCATGACCTTTCTCCCTCTCCCTCTTTGCCATTCTAGACAGAGCTTTCAGTAAGCCCTTCACTGTCCCTATTGACATGAGTGCAATGACCACCTGAAGCTGGCCTTAAGCCATCCTTTGGTCACACAGTACAGTCTCTGCTTCCCACTGAGGGGTGCATCTGAGTGCTTGTCATGGTCTCTAGATCAGTTCCTTCTTTACCTCTCTTAAATCCCTTTTGTTGTAGCATAGGATCAACTTCTGGTACCTCAACATGATCTAAAGGAGCACACGATTATATGCCTTTCTGTCCTTTTCGCTTCATCTTGCCTGCTGTTATGCTGGTTTCTAAACTGTGGTCAGCAGACTTTCTGCCAGACCCTTAAATACACCCCACGCCTTTATGTCTCAGGCCTTGGCAATTCTTTCCTTCTGCTCAGATAATACAACACTTCTCCTCATTCTTCAGTTAGCTACTCTTGCTCTTCTGTAAATCTCTATTCCAATGTTGCCTCCTTAAGGCAGCCTTTTGTGACTCCAGATTGGGACAAGCTTCTTTTGTACATGATTGTGTGTTCTGTCTCAGCACAGCAGTTGTTGAAATAGGGGTTTTGTGCTGTCCTCTCAAGGGAGGGTCTCCTTGAGAAAGATGAATCAATGAAAGAGTTTACTTCCTCCACTGACACAAACATGATGTTTGTGTTTCAGGGGCCTGGTTGTCCTTAGGAAGTCGTCAAATTTTATGAGTCACATATGGAACAATATTAGCCCTTGTTGGTTTTGATACAAGACAGATGTTCCTGATTTTCTTTTGACTTCACTGCAAGGGTATTTGTGATTTTGCGTGTTTCAGAAGATAGCCCATATCAATTAAACTGCCATCAGTAGGGATATTTTCATTCTTGAACAGAAATTCACCAGAAATCAAACAAAAGCAAATTAAAACAATAGTGAATATCATGAGCAAGTTGGGAAATATTTTTAAAGAATTTTATTTATTGATTTTTAGAGAGAGGTGAAGGGAAGGTAGAAGTGAGGGAAAGAAACATCAATGTGTCATTGCCTCTCATGCTCCTCCACCTTTTGACCTGGCCCACAACCCAGACATGTGCCCTGACTGGGAATTGAACCAGAAGCCCTTTGGTTCGCGGTCCTGTGCTCAATCCACTGAGCTGCACTAGCCAGGCAAGTTGGTAGATTTTTTTTAAAATGGTGGTACCCAGTACAGAGGAGGAAGGTATCAGAGGTGGTGGCTATAACCAATGTCTGCCAAACTGAGGTTTATCTCCCATTGTCACTGCTGAGGAGGCATCAGGCTTTTATTAAATTACCCACCTTCTCTAAGCACAGTCTGTACACTCTTTAAACAGGTGCAGTGTTATTGTGAGGAACACATGGGATCTGTATCAAGTTTTTGGATCCCTGCAGTCTCAGTGGGCAGCATAAACTCTGTTTTTCTTTTGTTGTTGTTGTTGTTGTTTTCTTTTGTTCTTTTGATGGATAGCAGGAGCTTTACACTTTGACACATTAATTACCTACTGGGGATCTAACCTACAGAGAAGAAAACATCTAAGCAACTAAAGCAAATGATTAAAGCAAGAGTATGTTCATAGCAGCCTGCTTGATGAGTGAATCATTAGAAATATACTACTGGTAGGAGTTTGTTCAGAGATGACTGCATGTTTTCAGAAATACAAGACAATCATACCTAAACATGGTTGGGACCAGGGGGATTTTTTCCAGACTATGAGGTATTTGCAGCTTAACAATTAACCTGCTCTGAGCTATACTGGCTTTCTACCCCACTACCTGGCCACTTTAGTGGGAAGTTGAATTCAGGCAGCTAGTCAAGCCAGGTACTATCCTTTCAAAAATACCTGACTTTTTTTGCATAAGTGGCATTGACTAAGTGTTAAGCGTCATGAAAAGGCAGCCATTCATGTCTTGGGAGGAAAGATTTACATGGAACTTGATATGTCTATGACAATCCATATGAGAATATTGTGTTACACCCACCTGAATAAGTTTGCTGCAGTGTTGTACATTAGTTTAGTGTCTAATACTGATGAATTATAGAGATAGAAAACAGCATGTGGTTGGTTATGGGGTTTGAGATAAAAATTGCAAGTGGTTTTCATAATGTAACATCTATTCATGATTTATAAGGCATCCCCTGCTTTCTCCCCATTCATCAAGTAGAAATGACTCCAGCACATGGCTTAGTTGGGCACATACACATAGTTCTTTCCCCATAACTTCCTGCTGCAGAAGCTTACTCTAGTCACCCTCAACTAAACTTGGACCAAATTTTCCTTACTTGTGCCAAGGATAATCTTCTTCCTTTTCCTTCTGGTTCTAGTCTATGTATGTACAACTAATATCCCCAACCTCAAGTCCTTCCATCCACCCTCTGCTCCCCATGCTTTTGAAAACGGTCTAAATGAATTAAAACTCTTGCCCAAATCTCTTCAATGCTTCTAAGTTTGACTGATAACATTAACAAGCATAAAAGGGCTTTTAAATTCGGCCTCATGGTCCCTGGCCCTCCCTGCTCCACTTAATGTTCAGCAATGTCACATTCCCTGTAATCTCCAGGAATGCCAGTTTGCTAATTTCTCCAAACTTTTTGCATCCACATGTGCAGTTTGCTGAAAAGATTGGCTGGGCACACTTCTATCTCTCCTTCCCCACTTGGTTGCAGGAAAACCTCCCCTTCCTTGTGAAACCTTTGCTTGTGTAATTATGTCTTCTACTATCTCCCTTGGGAGCTGGCATCTGTGTCTCTTTTTAGCACATTCCACATTGTGAGGAAGTATTTTCATGTGTATCTCTTGAGAAGTTATCCCAGTGCTTGGCACACAGTTGGTTTGAAATGCATATTTATTCAATAAATTGATGTGATTATTTTCATATCTGGTTCTTTAAAAAACAATGATGCTTTGCATCCCCCATTCCTCCCAGGCCTTTGATGGCTGTCTTTGCAGGTAGCACTGTGATCCTTGACACAGGAATGGAACATAATCTTGTTGGTGTATATAAACAAAGCTGACACATTTTTTTCCTTTAAAATATTGCAGCTGAATGTGGAATGATCCTGAAATTAAGGTCAGCTCTGGGTGGTTGTTTTATATCAGCTGTCAGATTGCAGAATAAAAAATGGCTTTTATATGTTTGATTTTTATTGTTTTCCAGGGCAATGTCACTTTTTCCTGCTCCGAACCACAAATTGTTCCCATCACATTTGTCAACTCTAGCAGCAGTTATCTGCTGCTGCCCGGAACCCCCCAAATTGATGGGCTCTCAGTGGGTTTCCAGTTTCGAACATGGAACAAGGATGGTCTGCTTCTGTCCACAGAGCTGTCTGAGGGCTCGGGGTCCCTGCTGCTGAGCCTGGAGGGTGGAACCCTGAGACTCCAGATTCAGAAAGCAACAGAACGGGCAACTGAAATCCTCACAGGTACCATCTGCTCACAACCACTTGGTTGACTTCTAATTCAGCCAAGTCAACAAATGTTAGAGATTCTGACCAAAACATACAGAATCTGGTTCCCAGGGAAGAGGATGATCTGGTGTTAACAAATTGACTCTTAGCCTGAATAGGCAACAGATTTAGCTATGTGAGCTTTGGCAAGTTCCTTAATTTCCTTGTCCCTCAGCACTCTCATCTGGGAAGTGGAAACAAGGAATCCTATCTAATACTATTGAGCATAGTATATACTAGTCACGGAGTGCTTTGGTAGGTCTCTGCAGACATGGTATATGTTGTATGGAATTCACCATGCTCATTCAGGAAAAGCATTATTTTCCATTTTATAGATGAGGAAGTGAATCACAGAGACTAAATAACTTCTAAAATCACATGACAATCAGTGATGACACCATAATTTCATCCTGACTTTTTCTGACTTTACAGTGTGTAGCTTCCCTACATGCCACAGTACTGTCAGACCGTTTGCAGCCACCTAATTCTATTTTAAATAAAACTAGTGAGTTTTAAAAAAATATTTTAACTTATTATATAAATACTACTACATATGGCATATGGCCATGACAACATTTTTAAAATGATTCTCAAATAGTTAAAATTTGGAAAGTACTTACTTTTATAATATACAGTATTTATTCTAATGTATAGCACTATGGAACAAATCTATGAACAAATCATACTCTGGCTCTACAGTTTCTTCAACACAAAACAGTGAAACTTTCCCCCTCCTTCTCTCCTTCTCTACTTGTTATCTCACTAATTAATGACTTCACTATTTCCAGAAGCACTGTGTTGATATAGCTGACAGGTACTCATTGAGGTCAGACCACACGTCAGGCATTAGATTAGGGCTAGGACATTCTATTGGGTCAAGAAATCTTTGATCATCCTCCGTGGATATACCATATGAATCAAATTGCCTCCTCTGTATACCCTGGGCCAATATTTATTCTGTATTACATGACATTGCATTTTTATTTATTTTAAATGTCTTTCTTCCTGCACTGGACTGCAAGTTTTTTTATCCAAATAAATTAGAAAAATGTAAGTTAAATAGAAAAAAACTTGATTGTATAGTCAAGATTAGGTCAAACTATGGAAGAACCTCAAATGCCAATAAGTGAACAAAAAGGCCCCTTAAACTTCTGCCAATAGCAGAAATGCCTGGGTCTGGGAATCAGGTTCAAAAGGCACCTCTTTTCATTACTATTCTTTGGTCCTGGATAAACTTCTTAACTTTGTCTCATATAAATTAGGATGTTTTAGTGACCTATAGCTGCAAAATAAATTATAGCACATTTTAGTGGTAGTAAACTTTTATTATGTCTCAGCGTCTGAGTCAGTATCTAGATGCAATTTGATTCTGGCAGGAATCAAGTTGTTGTCCAGGGCTGCAGTCATCTCAGTATTCAAATGGGGGTGGATCTGCTCCTAAGCTCACTTGTAGGCAGGTAGCAGGCCTCAGAAGACCCACTTGCAAGCTTAGCCCCATGGCCTCTGCATGAAATGAAGGCACTCTTACCCTGGAGTGAGTAAGACTCAGGAAGTGAGCAAGGCCACCTGAGACAAAGCCATAGTCTTCATGTAACCTAGTCCTGGAAGTGACCTCTTGCTGTATTCTGTTCATTAGAAACAATTCAGTAAGTTTAGGCTTTGCCTTAGCTGAGAGAATCATGCAAGGGTGTGGACAGAAGAAGCTGTGGGTCTGTGGGGGCCTGCTTAGAGTCTACCTAAATATAAGATATAAAAATTCCTTACAAAACTCTGATGGAATAAAATAAGATAGTGTATCTAGACTCTTAAACTCAGTGTTGAGAAGCTATTTAGAATTTTTTTTTCTTTTTATAATAACTCAAGACCTATAGCTCCATAGAGTCATAAAAGCTAAGTGAATGTGTGCAGTCATAGGACTTTTATAAAATTATAAGATTTCCAGTAATGGAGGTGAGTTAATAACTTAGGAATATAATATTTTTCATGTGCAGAGCTATAAAAGTTACACCTCAGTCCTCCTTTTTTGAAGAAAATTGTAAGTTGGCACTGGGTTATTGCTTTTTAATTGGCAAGATGTTTGAGGACAGAGAATTGTTAGCCTCAGGTCACAAATGCAGTTTTAATACAGTGCCAGCCCAGGTGGCACTTGACTCTAAAGCATCCAGGTGCTGCCTGTATTATTAAGCACATGTCAGCCCATTAAAACATATTTATGAGTGAGAGAATGGTTGGGAAAACTGTCAGGTTACCCAGCTGCAGAAGGGGAAAAAATCACCAGTTATTTTAGAACCATCTCTTAAAAAACAAGTAAAAGGAGGTTTTAAAATATGCCGACTGAGTTCCTGAAGTTTTTCTCAGAAATCTCTTGCTTGATTCTTTTCTCAATTTTGGAAAATTTGAACTTCTTTAATTTTTCTTTCATATGGATCAAGGTTTTGTGTCTGCTGGCAATTTTCTATATAAGGGAGAGACATAAGAGAAAGCAAACAAACAAAAAAAATCAAACAAAGACAGCTTTCTTCTCCCTTACGTTTTTTAAAGAAATTGTTTCCAAGGTACTTGAGATAATATTGCCTTTATAAGAGATGAAAATTTCCCATACATAAAAAAACTAGAAAGTAGTGACTATTGTCCCAATAATGATACATCATAGAAAACAGAAGATAGCACAGAGAATCCAGATATTTCAAGAATTGTTTCAGAATACCTTAGGTGTTCCTAACCCTGTGGGTCAAAAAGAGAAGGATCCTGTGGAAAGGGCAGGGCACTGATGCCTGGGGCATCCACTCCTGCTTCCCAAGCTCTGTGTGGTTGGCATTTTTTTTTGGGGGGGGGGTGTTATTTTGGGCTTTGTGCATTGAAGATTATGGAGAGGAGTGAAAACTTAATGCATTCTCCAAACAGAAGGGAACTGAATGTGCTCACTCTCTGGGATAAAGTTTCAAAACAATGAAGGACACCAGGGCATCCCTACCTTGCATTTTTTAAATTTTATATTTTTGTCATGTTCTTTCTTGATTGCCTTATACATAGGGGCATGAGGAGAAGCTGAGAACACCATATCACTGAAGGAATTGTGCAAGTAGAATCGACAATGACATGGGTCTCAGGAGGGCCAGACCTTAAGCTAGGACCAGCCGTGTAATGAAAAAAATACACTCATAGCACATATGAAGGAGTTATTATTTTGCTAGAATGCATAGGAGCAAACAGAATCAGAATTAAGTTAAGATGGCCATGATGGGGTTCATCCTCAGGCCTTTCCTTTGGATTCCCAAGATCATGTACTTTACACTATATCTTGCTGTCACTCATATTCATGCTTTTATATTGTCAGTGGCTTAAATAATGCAAATTTAAAGGAATCCTGCATTAGCTGAAATATTTATAGATAAATGTACAATAGGCTATTAATGAAAATAAGATATATAGGATTGAACATTGAGTTTTCCCCAAACAGTTTACTTAGTGGTCTTATTTTTGACAGATTCTTGAGTCAAGTAAGATTGACAGAGATGATGAACTCATTTTCTTTACAGACTTGTAATCTAATTTAGCTAAGGTAAAATATTATAAAGTAAATCGTGCATATCTATAATCAATACAGGCTTATGCTCACACGAACATTCTCACACACCAACATTTATTCAGTATATGTGATGTGCTTGTAAAGACTTTTTGATTCCTTTGTAAGAAAGAGTATTACCTCACACTAAATGACATGAAATATTACTAAGAGTCTATCTGTTCCCAAAGATTTTGGCCTGTATTACACAGCGTTTCCCATTCTGGTTACCCCTGTGCTCTAACCCTATATGGAAGCCTGGGGGCTGCACAGGAGCAGGAATAATACTTTCAAGGAGTCCTGGTGCAAGGTGAGCTTTAGGCAAATCTTCAATTAATGAACAAATATCTGGATTCCCTACTTTATGCATTTCAAATCTCAGTTCTTTAGCACTCTTCCTGAAGTACCATGTGTCATAGAGACTCTGTCTCTCAAGTCCACATCTGTTCAGTGAACAGTAAACACTATGTTCTATTTTTTAATAAAAGAAATGGCTTCTGTTTTAAAGACTCTTAAAAAGATGCTTAGAATGAAGTCTGTGGTTGTTCAAATCAACCTGGATTACAACAACAACAACAACAACAACAAAAAGGTAGAGGAGACTGTATGGATTCTTTCTTTGGAAATCAAAGCAGGGTTTTTTTTTTAAATTTTGGTAAAACATTAAGTAAGCTAAAGGAAAAGCTGGAACTACTATAATAACTTTTGAAGTGATCTGTATTTATTGTTAGTTCTATTTTTCTGATGGGAAAAATGCTAGGGAATGAGAACAGTATGAAAGAGGTATGGGGTACAGTTAGTAAAATTGAGGTCTGCTTTTCCTACTGTAATGCTTCTCAAAATGTCAAGTCCCAACTGTCAAGCAAGTCTGGGCAAAAAGCTTGAATTCAGGCCTTAGGGGTCAGAGCTGCAGACTAGCTCTGCTCTGCATGATGGAGAATGTAAGTTTTGTTCTATTAGACCTCAGTGAAAAAGGGGAGAGTTTGTCTAGAATTTCTGCAGTTTCTTTTAGACATTTATATGAGTTCTTAAAGAAAAATTGTCAACCCTTTTGTCAACCCTTTTCCTTATCTTCAAGGAAATCATTAACCCAAGACTCTTCTTTTGAAAATGGAATAAGAGGCCTTAATTAGGGGTATTCAGGATCAAACTCCCTGCCAGAGGTCTTGCTTTTCAACTCCCATAGTTGTGACCCATATAGAGTTAGGTGCCAAAGATTCAAATTTGACTTTTTTTTGTAACTTTCTTTACATTATTATAGAATTCTAGAAATAATTCTCTCTCTCTCTCTCTCTCTCTCTGTCTCTCTCTCTCTCTCTCTCTTTCCTCTCTCTCCTTTCTCCATGTGTGTGTTGGTTAGGGGGTATTATCAGAAAATGTAAGTCATTCAAACTACATAAATAGATTTACT